TTAAAAATCACAATTCTTAGAGATTTCCCCCAAATACTACCCAGTGTCTGTGGGAAATTATAAAAATATCTAACTTTTTTAAAAAGTTTACTATCTGTAAGAACATTGTGTTAAATAATTTGATTTACATCATTTTCTATCTCCCTTAATCCTCTCAATGTTGCCAGTGAAGGAAATATGATTATTATTCCCATTTTACCAAAAAAGAAAAAAAAAAAAAGAAAAAGAAACCTAGGCTTAGAGAGACTAAATAATGGATCTGACGTCACATAGCTAGTAAGTTCAAGGTGTGGACTCAAGCCCAGATTTGTCTTATATTAAAGTGAGTGCCTTTAAACAATGAATTACAGTATGGGGGATGCGGGTTTGGATATTTTACTTTATTTAAGAATATTTTTAATATATAAAAAAGATTGTCAATTTTCTCTAAACTTAACTTTCATATGGCATTTATATAAAAATATTACATACAATGCTTTCTAGCTGCAAAATCTGGGCTATCACACGAAAGTCTGATTATCTGATTTAATGAATATCTTTATTGCACCTATATTTAATCCAATGCTATTTTAAGAATGTGGAACTTCTTAACATAAATATATGTTGATTATCCAAAAATAAATAAAAACTTCATGTCAAATAAAAATGACAGAAAGAAAGGGCTTATTTCAACACTGCATTGTGTTCTAATTTGCTTACGATATATTGAGTTTGGGAATCATTTTTAACAAAGTCAATTTTATCAGTAACTGAATAAATGGTTAAAGGCTTTTAAGAACCACTCAAATCCAGACTTTGATTACTGCCATAGCTAACTTTTGTGCTAGTCTCCGCTTCTTGCCTCATTTGAAAAGCTTATTATAATTCTGGCATATTTATTTTTTTAACTATCTAATAGGAAAACATCCTTGCAACTACAGAATTGAATTCTATTGGGGAAAACAGACAACATTTAAAAATCAGTCATTTTAGCTACCTGACTTTGGATATATTGCTTAATAATTCTATATCTTTTCTGAAAGTAAAACTACTGCCTCTGATTCTCAAAACCTGCCATTTAAGCCAAAGAATGTGGAAATCTTGCAAGAGCAATATTCATTTCGACATTTCTGCAGCCTATCTCCCCAACAAGAATACTCTTCCTGCTACACTTATAAATCTTACCCATCTTTTAAATTCAATTCAAGCTTCACCTCTTCAGTAAATCCCTTATTGAACTTGTGATAGTTCTTTTGTGGCATTGTATTATATAACTTTCTATGTTGTTTAAAACACTGACTGTATCTTATACCTTTAAAAATACACACAATATCTGTTAAGGTCTTATGATTGTAGTAGATACTCATAAGTATAAAGAAATATAGACAACTCCTGAGACAAGGACAATTTTAAAATGGCCCAGGAGTGCTAAATGCAGTGACATAAATTTGTTCTAAAATACTAATTATGTTACTTTTTAAATGATTACATATTTATCTTTTAAAAGCCAATAGATTAAGTAATACACTTTAATTATTTCAGATCCCTGAACTGTTCATTCCCTGCGCCCACATCTATGGTTGTTTAGAGAGTCCAGTTTGTCCTTTTCATTCATTCATCTGTCCACACTAGGTCACATATATTCAGTTCCAGAGCTTAGAGTATATGACGCAGGTCTAATGTTCCCAAAAGGAAATTTCATGAGGAAATTCACAAATCAAGGTTCTCTTTATACTTCTTTGGCTGAAGCTGATTACTTGTTTGAAATATGCTTTCTGACCTTTTTGATTAGAGTCAATGATTGTTTTCAGAGAAGGTAATTGAGTCTAATCTGTGCAACAGCTTAGAATTTGATAGCTGAACTACATTTTGTAATCAAAAAGCGGTAAAAATACAATTGTTCAAACTTTTCCATATATATCAGTACCATGGATAGACTTTCAGGTAAAAACATAGATTGTTTTTACTGTTCAGTTATTTTCTAGAGATTGAGAGACCCCATGGCTTAAAAATCCATTTTCTCATTTAAGAATGTATTCTTTTTCCTTTGAGGAGACTTTGGATACCAATTTCTTGCTAGGGGCCGTGGAAATATACTTGGAGACTTCCCAGAAGCAGCCAGCAGAATGGCCAAAGTGAAGAAAAACAGATGAAATCACAGATAGGTTTTCTTAAATTCTGCCTTGAAATGCTCCAATAGGTGAGAGCATAGTGAAGACAATGTGAAGAGGAGATACTGAGAAATCAAGGTAGATATATGTGTCTGGAAAGTTTTTCCGTAAATAGCAGGAAGGAAAATAAAGGACTTGATATTTATTGGCACATATTGTGTACCAGATACTATGCCGTGTTCTTTAAAGATATAACAACAATGTGAAATAGGTATTATTATATCAATTTTCAGATAAAGGAAGGAATCTCAGAGAGGATGTGTAATTAACTCAATATCCTACTAGTGTTAAGTGGTAGATGAGATTTAAATAAAGTCAATGCGGCTTCAAAGCATTGGCCATTCCATTCTACCACACCACCTGCATGTCCATCATGTTGGTGTTCAAGAATAGGGCTTACATTCCTAGAAACAATACGAGCAAGGGAAAAGAAGAGATTTGGTGACTAAAGATGTTTTGGATCTGGAATTCTTCATTGACATACAAGCCCAGAGAAATCCAGGTCTCTGGAGTTTTGCCTGATTTTTGTTTCATTCATTTATGAATTGTTGTTTGTTGTTATTTAACAACTGAATTATACTACTTTCCTATTCATCCACTGTGAAGCTCTCTTATAAATTTCATGTACTGTAGAGAAGATTCTCCCAATGTTTTCCCCAGTGGTACAAGCATTATGAATGTTTTTCAAATGTGTGACACATCTTTAATGGATTAACTCCAAGTGCAGGTCCACCGTTTTACTTGATGTCTGAGCAACCTTACTATAGATATTTTTATAGAAATAATGTTGCCTCTTTTATATGATTTAAGTACAACTGAAATTGGTACTTAAGTATTGACTTCGGTTATTTGAGAGACACCTTACATGTCCTGGTCCAATGTAGGCATTCAATAAATTCTAGTTAGGTGGCTAATAAAAAGCTTATTATTATATCCTTGTGTTGCTCAATAAATCTAGTTTTTATGTCACATTGCCTGCCACTTTGTGCTTGACACAATGAAAGAATTTTAGGAAAATACTGTCAGGATCAATAAAAGCAACTGTTGGGTAATTAAATCAGTTTTGTGGTAGAAATTTTTTCTGCATTATCAATTGGATCAGCCATCATAATTAACAATGATGTAGAGCATCAGCTTGAATGTGTGTGTATACTGATGACATCACACACATATATATGTATTCTGGTGAATATATATACATACACACATACATGTATTCCTATAAATCTTGAAATATGGAGCAGTAGGAAATGGTCTCTGATTGTTGAGTTGATTCAAATATTCTCTTGGTTGCCTTAATGATCCTTTTATTTATTTATACATCTTTTGTGAGGAAGATCAGCCCTGAGCTAACATCTGCCAATCCTCCTCTTTTTGCTGAGGAAGACTGGCCCTGGGCTAACATCCATGCCCATCCTCCTCCACTTTATATGGGATGCCACCACAGCATGGCTCGACAAGTGGTGCTTTGGTGCACGCCCGGGATCTGAACTGGCAAACCCGGGGCCTCCACAGCGGAACACGCGTACCTAACCGCTTGTGTCACCGGGCCGGCCCCTTAATGATCCTTTTTAAGTAATCCAGCAAACATCTCTGTATTAACTAAGAACCGAAATGAAGGAGGCCTCTAAAATTTTAAGCAGAAATATGTAATTATTATAGAGAAATATTGGTACAAAGTACTGTAGTTAATTGAGAAAATTCTGCATGTATCAAAAATGTGAATAATTTATTTGAAATTAAAAAAAAACGAACAAAAGTAAATGGGGCTGAAATGAAACACACACAAAAAATAGTCTCCTGCATTGTTTAAGCATTTCATCTTAATTACTTCTGGAATATCTATCTACAAGAAAGGAACTAATTTTACCTGATAAAAAAATCTAAAGAGATTCCAAAATACATTTTTTAGGAGGATGAAAAATCAAGTAATAACTAACTAATTCCATAATTTTGTTCATTAGGCATAGATTAACAGAAGCTACCCAGGGCAGAGTGGAAACTGAGAGATTCATTGTTCCACCTTTTCCCCTTTAATAGTGACGCTGAGGTAGATAGGAATGTGAGATGTAAGGACATGACTTAGAATATCCATTCTATATAATGAAAAAAGAATTTGAGGAAGAATAATCAATCTGGAGTTGCTCTGAGTTACAAACTTTTCCTTTGTTTGAGAGAATATGTTGGACCCACCACGTCACAAACGGCTTCCCTCCGCAGATTAGTCTCTGGAATGGAAACATACTAGCCAGGAATGAGGACTTTTTACCAGACAGAGGGAGGACTGTGTTGCATGTTCATGGCTTTAGGAATAAGCAATTAATAGCAAAATGTATCCATGTTAGTCAATATCAATAAAAATAAAAGGTCTTAAGAATAAAAACTATACTAACCATAGTTTCCCCAAATACAAGGGAGTATACCAGCTGTCAGAGATCTAACGTGTAGTATGGAAATAAAAGATTATGTAAACACGGTCTGTTCTAGAATTTCTAGGTGTAATTAAAAGAACTAAGACAACAATAGCTATAATTTATTGTGTGCCTATTACGTATTAGTCAATGTGAAATATTTTTTCAAATATTTTCTTTAGGTAAATATTTTATCACCATTTTAAGGATGAGGAAAGTGAGGTTCAAAGAGATTGCCACTTGCTCAAAACCACATGCAGCATAAGAGACACAACCAGAAGTTCAACCCTAATTACACTTCAAATCCCATGCTCAAACCACTCCAAGATCATTCTGTGGCAGTAGTCAAGGGACAATTAATAGCAAAATGTTGCAAAGGTAAGAACAGTTCCAGAAGTAACCTAAACTCAGATCCAATAAACACCAGGAGGGCAAGGAGGCCATGGGGTTGTATGTGTAAGGAAGTCAAGAACTATTTCAGAAGAACTATGCTGTGAGGCCGTTGCCAGCCAGAGAATGATGCCAAATAGCTGCCCAGAGGAGCATTCCCCCCAAGCTAAGAATGCCACAAATCATATCAATAAAAAGTGAAAGATCCTCTGGAGAAGGCATCTAGATGGAATGTTAGGGTTGGAGAGAATAGCAGAAAATTTCTCTTGAGAATCCACAAAAACATCCATCAAGGAAAAATCAAAGGGGCGAACTGACTTTTGCCAGTCTAAAGTTATGACATTGTTTTCTGAGAGGGAGAAATTTCAAAGGAGTTTCCCAGAGGCACTTTCTCCACTTTCAATCAAGACTTGATCTATACCATTCTGCTCTACTCAATGTCACCAAGAACCTCCACATTATGAAATCTCTTATTCAATTATTCACCATCTCAGCATCATTTGAATAAATTAATCATAATCACTGCCTCCTGTTGGAAACATGTCCTTCACTTGACTTCTAAGGTGTTAAACTTTCTGCTTTTCTTACTACTATACTGTTCCCCTCTTTGAACCTGTTCCCTTCTACAACTACAATCATTTGGTAGGTGAATAAGTCCATCTCAGGACTTTAAATAGCAACTAAATAATAATGACTTCCAGATCTATAACCACATGAGACCCTCACCCTCCATTTCAGACTTATATATCTGACAGTCTATAGGACAATTCCACTCAGATATCTTGTAGGCATCACACTTAGGACATGCAAAACCAAAATACAGATTGACACTCAGAAACCTGTTCCTACCTGAGAGTGTTTCTAATTTTAGTAAATATTCCCCACTTTAACGTAAATTGCTTAAGCAGAAAACTTGGAATCATCATTGACTCCTCTTTCTCTTTCACACTCCCATTCAATCAATTAGAAAGTCCTGTGAGCTCTGTCAAAATCTGACTACTTAAAGTTGACAATTTCTCAGTATTCTGCTATCACTATTTCACTTTATCAGTAGATGCAAATAACTCACAAGTATCAATATATATTAAAAAGCAGATAATATTTAACAATTAATATGATAAAATGAATACAACAGAGATTAGCACAAAGAAAAAATATAAATCAGGAATCAATATTTTGCTTAAAGAAGGATCATTAGAAAAAAATTTGAAAATTGAAATAAATGAAAATTTTCTTTTGTATTACCATCATTTAACTTCATACTCGTAGTTTTGATCAATGCAGCTTTTTGAACTTTTATGTGATATTATAAATTTTAATGAATTATGTAACATTGTATATAAACATTTGAAAGTTGATTTTTAACACTATATATTTGGAATGCTTTATATTGATGGATGTAGATTAATTTTGTTTATTTAAAATTCTGCTTTGAAGTGGATTATGCAATGGAATACCTAGCTAAATCAAATAATTAAATCATAGGTTACTTATCTATTTTCCCTGTAAAGGGACGTTTACTTGTCTCTGTTTTTTCTCTTCTGAGACAAAAAGTGATAGAAGTTATGGGATTTTACTCATCACCTTGATCATAAGCGCAAGAGTTTCTCTCTTATGAAAAGACTTTTTGTGTCACAGGGTATATAAACTTCAATTTTACTAGATGGGGTCCAATTAATTTCTTTTTTTTCTTTAGGAAGATCAGCCCTGAGATAACATCCGTGCTAACCCTCCTCTTTTTGCTGAGGAAGACCGGCTCTGAGCTAACATCTATTGCCAATCCTCCTCCTTTCTTCCCCGCCCCCCAAAGCCCCAGTAGATAGTTGTACCTCATAGTTGCACATCCTTCTAGTTGCTGTATGTGGGATGCGGCCTCAGCGTGGCCAGAGAAGCGGTGTGTTGGTGCGCGCCCGGGATCCAAACCCGGGCCGCCAGTAGCGAAGTGCGTGCACTTAACCGCTAAGCCACGGGGCCGGCCCTCCAATTAATTTCTAAAGTGGTTGTGCCAATTGATTCTCACCCTAGCACTGCGTTGGGGTTCCTGTTTCCACTTGCAAGCCAACACTAGATATCATCAACTTTAATAATTTCTGCAAATCTGATGAATGGGAAATAATGTGTCATTACTTTGATATGTATCCCATTGATTATTAGGAAGACTGAATAGCTTTTCAAATCTTTGTTTTTCTTTTCATTTCTCCTGTTGTGCATTTATATTTTTAAAGAAATTCTTCTCTACCCCCAATAAAATAAACATATTCTCCAGAAGATAAGAAAGATATTTTCCTATATTTTTGCCTGTCCTTTAATACTCTACCACTTAAAAACTGGAATAACCTTAGAAAAACCACTTATTCTGAGCCTCAGTGGTCTCATCTGTAAAACGAGGATAATAAGGGTTATTGTGATGATTAAATGTGCACCTTGCCTTATTTAACCCATTTTATGATTTTACAATTTACCCATGTTCATTTGTGTGGTCCCAGCATATTAATTTTGTAATTGCTGTTTTCTACACCCAAAATGTCTGCTTAGAATACAGCAAGTTTTCATTTATTTGAAGCCAAGTAAATTTGATAACATTACAAACCATGTAAAATCAACCATAATAATTTGTAAAGTTATTATTTTCAATGTATCATAAAATGTGTTTTTAAAGCTCTTGCTATTAAATTATTAATGTACATCACCTTCATTCTATACACCAAAATGATAATCCACCATACATGTGGAGATTCAGTTCATGTTCAAATACTCTTAAGTGCAATGAATTCCTTCCTTTAATTGTTTTGGATTTTAGACATTCTTTTCCCGGAGATGTGTTCTTTTGTAAATACATTAATGCTTACTGAAAGAATTCTTAGAACATAACTCTTCCAAGGAAAAAGATGAGCAATATAAAAAACTTGTAGCATTTTTTATGGAGATGTCTTGAATTAAACATTTAATTTTTTGCTTCATTTTCTTTTCTTTTTTCCTTTGTTTGTCAAATGAGCCATATGGAATCAGTCTAGATTTGGAAGATGATGTTTCATGAGATTAAATTGAATATATCAATATTCTTATGCAGAATATTCTCTATTTGATAAGAAAAATGCCTCTCCTTTTCTGCTTTCCTCTTAGTTTCTTAGATTTAATTTAGCTCAATTAACTAGGGAACTAAGATGTTGTGACTGTTTCAAAGCATTTTAGAAGGTTGAGTATTCACAGCACAGGCAATGTAAAAGGGAAATGTTAGGTTAGGATTGCTGAGTTATGTATAAAACTGTTTAATGTACAATAGGCCATAAATATTTGGAGTTATCTGTAACACTACACAGAAATCTTTTGCATCTCTACTGGACAAAAAGCTACAAGTGAGCAAGTAACTCCACTATATATGGGACTTTTGATCAATAGTAACAAAGAATTAATTTAGTACTTTCTCCAGACAATCCTTAAAGAGCCTTTGCCCGCACACAATGTTGAAGGCATGCTACCCATCTTTTCTACCTTATTTCCAAGCTGTGGATATTTGTTTTTTACACTGATAACTCTCTTAGTGCCCAAGACAGTTGCTAAATGTACAGTTTTGTTAACAAAATGACAACATTTTCATTTTTTTCTCTCCTATATTGTTATTATTACTCTTTCATTCTCTCAAAGAACAGACATTGCTCCAAACAATGAACAAAGCATAATTGCCATTTTTCTTTTTTTTCTTAATTTCAGAACTTAACCTAGAACATTTTTCTCCTTCAAGAATCCCAAACATTCATTTTACTTTCTTATTCTAAAACTTTTCTATAGTAATTTCACAGCAGTAAGGATTGTCCTATTGATCACACATCATCAAGCCAAGAGTTTTGTGTTTGATTGTTTGTTTGATTTGGTTTAATCTACTTTGCTTTCTTAACCAGAGAGTAATAACATACCAATTAAAATTATAAAATATATCTTATTCCTTCTCTCTGAGGCTGAACTTCTAACAGAATTCTCAAAAAAGTTTCTGCTTGGGTTGAGTCCAACAGAATTATATTTGCAGTCATTAGTAACAGACCATCATGTGGAAACTCTTTAGAAATTGGAGGCTGTGCTTCCAAAGTAAGAGATTAGTCCACTCTTCCTTGTTATTTTTTTTGTTGTTGTTCTAAATTGATAGAAGCAGTTTCTGAAGTTTCTCCTGCTTATATACCTTCTCTTGTCTGTCCATTTAGAAGATAGATAGAATTTTTTTTTCATTTCATATAGAAAGAGAGTTTCGTGGTAATATGATTACTTAATTAAAAATAATTTAATGTGCTGGATTAACGGGGTGTTGAAAGGAGACTGGATGAGTTACCTGGTAATTGATCAAGGTGCTTTATCTTTTAAGACAATACTCACACAAAAATAGCTCATAAATCTGAAAGTCCGATTACTCCAGCAGTAGCGGGAACATTTTTACAAAAGAAAATTGAATCAATGAGGAAGGGATTTTTTAACGAGACTGGAATGCAGTGTTCCTGCACTTTTCCTCTTAGGTATCCTTATGTGGGTCATATACATATTTCACTGAACGTCTTTAAAGAGAGCGAGAAGAACTCTCCTCGGGTAGTCTCTATAGTATTTAAAAACAAAAGAACTTCAGTAGAGAGACAAACAATAAATACCAAAATAGCTTTACACATTTTGCAGTGACATGCTTTTAATATAAATAACACAGTTGTGTGTGAACTGTTATTCATCAGATGAATTTAAATTACTTGAGTTTTTTATAGCCATTGCAAATGATTTCACTCTAAGAGTCTCTATTAGTCTTGTGAGGATAGAGACTAGACCTAGACCATGATGTCTAATGGACACTAGGTAGACACACCTGATAACCAGATTCATGTCAACTATCTTCCTATATTAAATAAACCAGTGTAGTCTGAAAGCATACATTCAATATATCTTCAAAATTTGACCTATTGTAGTTTGACAGCATGATCATGCATCTCTGGTGTATACTGCACTCTTTAAAGATAGGTATCTATTTTTCCTTTGGACTAAAAATTCCAACTTCATACAATAAGAAATATTTTGCATGGAGAGAGAGATAAAACCATCTTCATGACATCAGGTGCTCAGAGTCAACACCTTTAAAATGATGTTTTAAGGGCCATTAGTGTCCTTGATCAATGGAACTAGGTCTTTTATGACACTGTCTGGATAATAAAAAATAATCAGTCATGTACTGATGTACATAAATAAATATTCTCCAACAAATACAATTAATAGAATTGATGCTATTAGAATTAAAAAAGATTCTTTCCCTAAATATGTCTACATTACCTAAATTCATATATATACAAATAATAAAGGTGAAAATTGTTCTATAATTTCTAACATTTTGATGTGTCTTGTATCACATAATTTCAGAACCACTCTATGACATTTCTACAGAAGTAAGGCAATAGAATATCATTTACAATCATGTCAGAGACAATTATAACAAACCATTGTTACATGATGTTATATATAAATTAATGATATAGAAAGGAAAAGAACAACACAGATTTATAAATCAATTCCAAAATTCAATAATGCAGAAATGTCTCTTTATGACAGTATAAGAAAATACAAGTTCTTTATTTTGTTGGAAGACAAGACAAACACTTGTCATATGGTTGTTGATCTACTTTAATAAAATAACTTCCTAAAATAATTAATAAAATCAGTACTATTGTCAGGATTTATTGTGTTTCACAAAAAGGGAATAGGGCTTATGTCAATTTATAGATTATAGTCCCGGCATCTACCAATTGAAGTTAGAAACATTACAAGTACCACTTCTAAGGTTGAGAACATGAGGGAAAAAAATTAATAAATATTCTTCTGAAGAAAATGTTGGATTTGCTGCAAAAGATAAAATATAAGACTGGATAGACTGTTACTCTAAAACAGAATGCTTTTACATATGAAACAAAACCCTTGAGTGAGGTTGCAGAAAAGTATGCTGGTGTGGGAATGTCTTTAAGACATTGTCTCCTCCTATCTCCATCCTTAGTGTAAGTTAGCCATTCAAGAAAGGTGCTGAATAAAGAATGAAGCTTGCCACAGCAAAGATAAACCAATTTCTAGTCTAAACGAAGCGTTTACAATAACTCAGAGCTCCTGTGTTGCCATCTCTGCAGCCATTCTTTAACGAGTAAACTGGCATAAGTTTCCTCATTAAAAACTTATGGATTCTTCAATCTCCTTCTGTGTAGAATGTGACCAAGGTAGCCAGTCACTCTCCATTGTGTTGAAATGGTCCAAGGGCAAGTCACTAAGAAAAATACATGTTTATTAATATAACAAAAGGGTCAAGAGTATTTATCTTTTTGATTCCATGGTTTGCATTCCGTTGTGTCTCCCCTATATTATACTGATTTTAATTTTCTTTGCTCTTAATTTATTCCACACAACCAATCTGCTTAATTACAGTTCTGAACAATGCTTCCTTTTAATGATTTTCTTTACATATTTCACTTCTTTCAATTACAGTTACCTAAGGGATTATACTGGAAGAGGGAAGATTATAGCCCTTAGTTGAGACTATGTTCAATTTCAACAGTGGCAGAAAAGCGCAGAGTTCTGTTTTTGTTTTTAAGCTGAGAGTGTTTGAGAGCAAAAGAAATATTAGCCAAGACAAGCAATGAAAATTTGATATGATTTAAGAGCACAACGCATTCTCTACTGAATTACTATGGTTTGCAGCAAATTCCACATCAGCTATGAAATATAAAAGTAGAGAGATCTATTATTATGTACTGTTATACTCACATTGCTTCTAAATAGAATATATATTAATTCAGACAACTGGCATTGCCTGACATCAACACAGCATGACCTAGCTTCTGAGTTCCTTGTGTCTGTTTCTTTTAACCAAAATAGAAATGCATTTTCTATATTTTCTCAGATATTAATCACAGGGAATTTGAAAGGAAAATATGTACACACTTCCAAGTGGTTAATTAGCTTACACAAGAAATGAATGATGGATGCAGGTACTATTTTGTAACACTTTAATCATAATGTTTAAAAGATTAAACATATTTTCCACAGTCAGTGCTGTTTCTATTTTATCTACAAGGTTTCTATATATTCAAGGAGACTGTTTTTAGATTTTAAGCAATTCAAGAAAATACACAATAAGTTTGTGTTTGATACAAAGGTAAGCTTCTTTCAAAATCATTTCATTTGCTTCATCCAGAAATTCTCTCAATGCAGGTAAAAATATTTGTCCATACATATGTACATTTTCAGCACTCAATAAAAATTCATTATTTGAAAATGCCTTCCAAAAATTCAAGATGTTTGAAAATTTTAGATATACATCTTACTGCATGTAGTAAGATGGGTGATTTTTAGTAAAATTGAGTCTAAAATTTGTGTAAGTGTCGAAAAGAGTTAAAAGTCATTAATACACAAAATTTTACTTCTTGCCATAATATCCTTATGCACAAAGCATGAACCAAGTCTAAAGGTACTTCTATTTCCAAGGTCAGAGGGCAAATCATATTTTAAAGAAAGGGAATCTTGGCACATAATACACATTTTTCCCAAGGGATAATATGACCGTACATGGCAACATTCAATAGTAGCATTAGATCTGAATAACAAACTACAAACACTGTTTTCATTAAAATGTGGATATACAAATCATTGTTCTCATATGGGTCATCTTATGTAATTTTTTTTTCAGAAGTTTCATGTCACTTGGATTTTTAGCAGAAGTGGCATGCTTTGCTCCAAGCTACTTAGTCATAAGACTGAGATAAGCAGATGCTCACTCTGATGGGCATTTGCAACTGTAATTTATTTAGGCCTTTCTTGATCAGACATGAGATCTTAAGAAGGGACTGACATTTGATTAGCGAACTGGTGACAGGACAAAAATTGTTTTCTGAAGGTTAGCTGTTGCCGATTGGAATATGCCGAAATAAACCTGTGCCCAAGATTTCTAATTATCAGAAAACATGTCTGTGAACTAGTTTTTAAACAGCCATAAGGACATTTCTGAAATGCTCTACTGCAAAGCTTATTCCTGTTCACAAACAAAACCTCTACAAATGCTTTCACCTGATGTGCTGGCACAGACATTTTTCATTGTTTTATAATTCCTTAAATATTTATGTTAAAATATTGGACTTCTATTATGTAAATAAAGTACCCTGAAAGACAATAAATAAGTATGCACTGAAATGATTAAAATACACTCCTTCTGTATGATTTAGTGAATAAGTTGGTTAACTTGAGAGAAAAATGTCAAAGTAGTTTTATTATTGTAGCCGGAGAATATTAGCATAAAGGATAACAATAAAGACAGTCTAACCAATTACTCCTATTGTTCTACAGTTTAGCTGTGTTTTGAATGTGGGAGAGAAGGCTGTGATCAAAATAAGAACCACAGTATCAATAGGTTTCATGGCAATAAGTGAGGTTATCTGAATGATATGTCAACAAATCAATAAATGGCCTTTTGACCTAATTGATTATAATGTTTTAAATGACCATCCTGATTAAAGATTTCATGACTGTTGAAAAGTTAATGTCATTTATTGCATCAAAAAAGAGTGTGGCACAGGCAAAAAGCCATTTGGTTAAAGTCAAGAATCCTGTTTTCTGACATCACTGCTGCCATCCACTGAATGATCTTTAAATTCTCGAGCACTCAGTCCAGTTGTACAATGTTTACTCTGGCAAGGGGATATGTAAGCTTCCTTTGCCTATGCTCCTATGAATACTTTGGCATTTCCCATAGACTGCAGATAAATATGAGAATAGTTCTTGATTGTACCTTTGGATTATCATAAATTTGTACTAAAACTTTTTTAGTAGAGGAGCTTAACTGGGAATTTAAACAGTGAAAGTTTTTATGTATAATAAGCTACATGACTCAAATAGATCTTTAATATTTATTATTATAAATCTCATAAAAACAAAAAGGTTTTCAATCACAGAAATGTTGTAAGTTAAAAGGTCACCATGGGAGTTCTTCTAGTAGGGCCAAATAACTCCTAAAAGAAAAACCAAGCAGCAGATAATAACTGTAAAGTCTGGGAAAAATATTTAGGAAAAAATACAACAGCTACCTGAATGCACTAGAGGGTGAACAGATGTAGGCAAACTGGAGAGAAGCTAAGACTTGGATGAAGAGAACAGAGCTTGAGAATTTCATATTTTTATCACATTTAGCCAAATGGTAGGCCCTCTAGGCCTACCATGTGCGTTGGCTAAAACTTTGATGGAAAACACAAGGTCATACTGTCTAGCAGACTTAGAGGACAATGTTCGAGGCACCACAGTTATTAGAAAGTGAAGATGCAAATCCTTGAAAAGAGGATGCCAGAAAAGAGAAGCTCAAATTAGGGTAATAGCCAAATATCTGATTGACCTTTGAACCACACATGCGCAGGGCAGACTCCAAGCAGACAACTAGGTCAGAGATTGTAGTTTAGTCTATCAAAGTTAAATGCTGCTTTAAAATTTACTTTTTGGCAGAACCTAACAATTTAAATTTTCTACAACATAGAATTCACAACGTCCAAGACAATATCCAAAATTACTTATCCTAGAAAGAAACAAGGAAACATGAGCCACCCTTAAGAGAGAAAAAAAATTAACTCGAGACCAACACCAAATGAAACAAACATTAGAATTATAGAACAAAGTATTTAAAACACCATTATATCTGCTCAAGGAAAATGGACTAATAGATTAATAGAGGAATGGTGAGATGGATAGAAGGAATAGTGAGATAGATATGCAATAAAAAGCTATGGTAAAACTGTTAAATATAGAATCAAGATTACGTTCACTTCAAAATTCTTTCAACTTTTGTGTATGTTTAAAATTTTTCATAATAAAAAGATGAAAAATCGTAAAAACTTTACAAGAATGAAAAGTATGATAACCCTGAAGAGAAATATTATTTGTCTATGTTACTGAAACAAAGCATATTTTACTAAATTTTCCATATGCATATAAATGTTTCTGCTCAATTGGCCTAGTCAAGTCTATCTATCTGATAATGTTGAGAAGCATATATAAATATTATAACTAAGTTAATGTTTATATGTGAACAATTGTCTACTATCAGGAAAAAGAAGAGCTGTGTGGTAGAATGAACGTGTACAAGCTTTGAAAGTTAAAAAAAAAATTGTTTTAGAAGCTGTTAGTCTTTTCCCAACTGACATTGTTCAAGTCAATTTTCTGTGAGCTTACATTTCTTCAATTTATAAAACGTAGTTAATTTTACATATCCCCCAGGATTACTGTAAGATCAAATGATAGAATGTATTTGAGAGCATTATACCAACTTAGAAGCTTGCACAAAATTATGATCATTATATAATAAGTGGATAAAAAAGATATTTGACCTATTTCATAGGATCTCAAAGTCAGTAACCTATTGTGTACTCTTGTGCCATTCCTTTGATTAGTTATTAGTTATATCAACTTCTTAGTTATTACAAGGATAAAATGAGATAAAGTTTATGAGCACACAATAAATTACATAGTGTTAAAATAATGTGTTATTAATATAGTTATTGTTTCTTATTCTTTATGTGATTAATATAATTATTTTGATCACTAATAGGAAGTAATAAAAAATTATATATATATACATATGACGCATATATACTTATACATATACACCATAAAAGTATATATAAACATATACATATATAATTTTATTTATGTGCTATTAAATAATCACAATTTCTTTATATGTATCTATGAATATAATTAGATATATATATATATTCTTTCTATTGGATTGTCTCATTTATATAAGTACGTTTTCTTCTAAAATAATTTTAACTATTAAAAAACTTGCTTTGAATTCTCTGTGCTACATTCTGGTCAGATAATGAAGTGATTACATATAATCTGCAAGAAAAAAATTATATATGTATAAAGAAGTGTTGGCTACATAAGTGTGATAATTTTTGACATTAAAAAATTATTTGCAATAGTTAAAATCCTTTTATTTCCAAGGATCACAACTTAAAATATTATATAGTACATATTATATTACATATGTGGTATATATATAAAAAATAGATTACTGTTAGCTGCAACTAGCTTCAACTAGTTCAAAGGTTCTATAACCTGAATGATAGGCCCACCCATTGGTTGTTGGGGCTGGTCCTCCCAACCAGGTCTCCAAAGGGCTCAGCAACAGACAATACAAGACAATAGAATAAGACCTATTCATGAAATCAATCACAATGCTTTCAAAGAACAAAACAGGACTACAATTTTGAGAGGCTAAACTCTGTGGTTCCACGCCTGATAGATCATTAAAATCATCTAGGTCAAATACAGTATGATCTAACTCATAAGTAGAAGATAAAAACAACAGCAAACACATAGAGATAGAGATTGGATTGGTGGTTACCAGAGGGGAAGGGTGAGAAGGAGAAGGGTGAAAGGGATGATTAGGCACGCTTGAGTGGTGATGTATTGTAATTAGTATTTGACTAGTGAACATGATATAATCTATGCAGAAATAGAAGTATAATGATACACACCTGAAATTTGTACAATGTTATAAACCAATGTTACCACAATAAAAAAGAAATCACCTAGGCAAAATTTTAAAAGTACAGTTTCCTAAAAAACAAAGACCCGGGCCAGCCCGGTGGCATAGTGGTTAAGTTCTGCTTTGGCAGACCGGGGTTTGCAGGTTTGGATCCCGGGTGTGGACTGATGCACCACTCATCAAGCCATGCTGTGGCGGCCTCCTGCATACAAAATGGAGGAAGATGGACACAGATGTTAGCTCAGGGCTAATCTTCCTCAGCAAAAAGAGGAGGATTGGCAATGGATGTTAGCTCAGGGCCAGTCTTCCTCACAAAATAAATTAATAAATAAAAAATAAAGACCTAATAAATTTGAATCTCTGGAAGGTGGGCTTGAAATTTTGTATTTTTTGATAGCTCTCTGTTGATTCATATGATCATCCAAGTGTAGGAAATAGCCAGTACTACATTTATGTTATATACATCTTCTGATTTCCATGTTATTAAAACAGACCCTCAGTCACAAAGAATAATATGGAAACTGAGTTTTCAGAACTTTACAGTTGTGGGTCTCAAAGTTTGGGTATCAAAAATAAAAGAAAGTAGATGCCTGTTTTTGTCAAAAGGGATATACTAATAATTTTATAGGAAATAATAACAATAATAAATAATAATGCTTGTTATTTTAAAACATATTGCCTCTTATTGAGCTCCTGTTATATTCTTGGCATTTTCTTTCATTGTTTCAAGTTGGGATTTTCTGATTTTTAAGGAAGTGCCCCCAAAAGAAACCAATAGAGTGTGGGGAAAGTAAGACAGAGATGGGGAAGACAAATATGAGTAATATTTCAGGCCTAACCTATGCCTGATTATGCAGAAAGTTCTGGAACATAAATTAGACTTCAGAGTTTGTTCTGCCTTGAGATAAGGGAGTTGAGCTTTCATATTTCTACACTAGTCAGTTCCAGTTGGATGTAGGGGAGATAATGTAAAACCCCAGGCACCTTCCAGCTCTCTTGGGCGTATGGGTAAAAGGGCTCCAAAAAGCCAAGGGCAGTTGCATGTGCAAATTGTTTGAAGCAAATCCTGCAGAATCTGAGAGGTAGTTGGGCAGTACCAATAAGTGATTTGAAAGGTGTCTGGGAGGAGCATTAACGATGTCTAATACATTGATTTAACAGATATTTATTGAAGGCATGTACTGCGTCAGGCTCACCACTCTAGGCGCTAAAAATATAGCAGTGAAAAACAGACAAAAACCACTGTCCTTATAGAACTTATATTCTAAAGAGTTACATGATTTTTGCAATGAATCAGACTCAGAAACCAAGACTTAAAAGGCTTTTCATTGAGGTAAGTTATATAGGAAGCATTGGAAGCAAATCAAGAACAAGGGAGAGCCTGTATCACTATATGTAATTGAGTTGGCTACTGTTAGAAGGGGTTGATCATTCCCATAGGTCCTCTTGAGAATCCCTATGATATTCATATTAGAACCATCTAATAGAGGATGAAAAATGACGGAGGCATTTCTCCATAGGCTCCCATACCCCGTTGGCCAAAAGTTTACTCCACAGGGTGTTAACTCCACCGCACTACCAAAACGTGCATGTTTATGCCAAGAAATTGCTTGTAGCATCCACACTGTGGCAGCCACTTCTGTGTTGTCCCTGAATATGACAGCAGGAAACTAAGAAGTACAGCATAGGACTGAGGTGAGACTCTCAGAGCACGTACAGAACTGATTCACAACAGCCATGGCTGGAGTAATAAACAAATGAAGACAACCAGATATGAAGTTTGCACAAGTTATGTGATACAGGTCACCTCTTGCACCACACTGTTCCTCTTGTTTTCTCCTTTAAATCCAATCCAACTCAGAGTTATTATCAAGGTGATGGTCCGCTGAAATCTCTGCAAAGTCTTGAGGCAAGAAGGTTATTAAAATAAGCCATAAACAGCAATGCAGCCGCTGATCCTTAGCTTTAACTTTTTAATATTAAACCTTTAATATTCAGTAAATATATCTTTCAACATCCCTCTAGATTTCTTTCACCCTCAGCTATCAGTCTGGCTGCTCCAACACCCAAACTCCCAAAAGGGGTGAGTTCTTCATTGTTTCGCCCTTGTCAGCCTGTGGTTGCTGTAATGTATATTTGAATTTATCACTAGTCCCAAAAGAGTCAAGAGACTATATCTTGTATTCCAGCATATTCCTCTTCCATTGTTTAACAGCAATCCTAATTCCTTATTTTAACTGGAGTCAATTACTCCTGACAGTACAATTATTTCTTTCTTCGATTGCTGGTCTGATAGACTAACAAGACCAAAATGGACAGGTGATGTTAATGTTCTATGAACAAATAGTGTTTCCCCAAGCAGAAGCATCCTCTCCACTGTAAGGAATCAGGAGGCTGACTAACAGAACCTCAAATGGTAGAGA